TCACATAAACAGAAGGTGGCTCTTTTTTTTTTAGAGGGTGGCTCTTTACCGCATAAAGAATGAGGGCCTCCAATCAAATACAACCTCTTCATTTTACACATGAGAAAAATAATTACTGAGGTTTCTGTACTGCCTTTACAGTCACAAAGTCATGTTTCCTGCATTAACCAGCTAGTTGGCTCACTTCCTCTCACTTGCAGTTTGGGGTTTGGATTAGATTTTCTTCAAGGTCCATTTCAATGCCAGCATCTAACAACTCCATCCTTCCTGTAGGGGCTGGGTCAGACAAATGGACTCAGAGCTCTATTTTTCCAGGCAGCTCAGTAACACAATGAATAGAGCACTGGGCCTGGAGTCAACAAAATAGGAATTTAAATCCAGTCTCAGACCCTGTGTGACCCTGGGCAAGTCATTTAGCCTCCGTTTGCCTCGGTTTCTTCATCCCAGGTTTATTGTGCAGGTCAAGTGAGATAATATTTATAAAGTGTTTAACATAGTGTCTGGCACATCATAGGCACTTAATAAATGTTTGTTTCCTTCCTTCCTTTCTCAGAACAGCAGCACTGAGACTATGCTGTGACTAAAGCCTTTCCTCCCATTGGGAACTAAGCTAGCTTTAATAATCCCACAAATCTCCACTAAAATGACTTTACCCGAGCCTTGCACTCCTGAATTCTAGGCATGCTTCCAAGGTGTAAGAAGAACTCTTTTCTGGTGAATGAAGTTTGCATTGCCAGGAAGTGTTCTTTTAATTTGAATGATCAGAACAGTGCACAGGGACAATGTCTTGGTCTTGATTCTGGGTTAACTTCTGGGATAAACTTAGCTCACAGAGAATATTAAATAATAGCTCTGGTGGCTTTGATAGGAGACACCTGTGCAGTTTTAACAGAATCAGTTCTGCATGCCACACCCCACCCTCCCAAGCCTCTCTAATACTATAATGGCCATTCTCATTCTCATATTTGTTCAGTTACATAGCTGTGGGACCCCAGGCAAGAAATTGGACTTGGAGTCAGGAAGACCTTGTTCATTTCTCAGACGCCTACAAGCTGTGTGGTGCTGGACGGGTCACTTTACCTCTTTCTGCCTCCATTTCCTCATCTGGAAAATGGAAATAACAATAGTACCCACCTCAGAGTCATGAGGACCCAATAAAATTGTGTATGTGAAGTGCTTTGCAAACCTTTTAAAGTACTAGGTAATAACAATAATACCCAAGATTGTTGTGAGGAACAAAGGAGAAAATATTTGAAAAGCACTTTGCAAATATTCAGGTGCTCTATAAATGTTAGCCATCATTCTTGCAAAGAATTTGTTCTATTTTGTGTTGAATTTCCTTTACTGGGTGAGAGGCAGAAGGAAATATTGTAGCCCAGAATGAATGGGATTTGAGTCATTTGTTTCCAATGCTAAATTCTCTCCTCCTGCGGGAGATCTGATTCACGCACACTCCTGATGTGGCGTCAGCCAGTTGTACCTGTCTCAGCTCTGCGTCACCGCTTTCATCAGGCAGCCTTGTGCTCAGAATATATCACGTTGTAATTTGGTCTGAGCCATGCAGAGTTCAGATCTTGAATGAACTCCCCAAACTGAGAGAAGATGTGTCATGTGTTTTTGTTTGTCTTTAAGGTGAACAGATTTAGGCTTGTAGCCTGTTATGGGCTGCTGACACAGAATGTTTGTGGACCCTTTTCTGGTTTCTTTTCCATAGAAAAGAGAGCAGTGTTGTCCATAAAAAGAATCAGCCTTTCATCCGGGAAAGATAGCTCTCCTTCTAGTTCAAAGGGAGCACCCATCTTATCAGAGCCACCTTTATGGAGGTTGCCTCGTTGAAATTTATAGAACACCTTGGAATGTGAAATAAACATCTGTTATCAATGTCCCTGCTTCAGCAAGAAAAATTGAAGTGTAGAGGTGGTAAGTGCCCTTTGACGTCACACATGAAAGGTTTCCTTGTAGGGAAAGCACATTGGATCTTAAGTCAGAAGACCTGCAGTTCAGTCCTGGTTCTGATATTTGAATAAATGCACATTTATTAATAAGTACCTACTGTGCGCTGAGCACTGGGCTTGACCCTGGGGATTCAAATTTAAAAGTAAGGACTCAGGATTCCTCTAGGAGTTTGGGGCATACAATACAAATTCATTCCTTTCCAGGCTATACTCCTAACTCTCCCCAGTCTCTCTCTAAGTTTTCCTAGAAACCTCTTTGTCCTGGATGCTCTGGACTTCACACATTGGAAGTGCCTCCACCCCTGTGGCCTTTCCTTCTGATTGGCTGGTTCCTCCCAGGACCTCCATATTCAAGAGGAGGACCAAGTCACCATATCTTCCTTCTCCAGTCTGCATTCCTGACTCTACTGGATTTTCTCTCTACAAAATAAGCCCCTTCAGGGTAGGGACTGTCTTTCTGCTTGCATTTGTATTTCTAGCATGTAGCATAGTGCCTGGCATATAGTAAGCAATGAATAAATGCTTATTGACTTGATTTGATATATAAGAAAGTAGTAGCCAAGGAAGGGAGTTTTGGACTGGGAAGTCAAAGGGATAATGAGGAGAACTATAAGATAGTCAGTGGTCACTCTTAATTAAGTAGCAATGGTACCATTTATTTGATTATTATTCCCAGAATAAGAGGTAGAAGAGGGAGAGGCGATGAACATATATAGTAACATAACACATAGCAAGATGCCTGTGGCAGGTAGGCCCTGGTGTGCTAGAAGGTGGCATGATGGAATGTGAAGCATGGTCTGGGGCCAACTAGACATGACTTACACATGATTTGCTAGTCCCATGTTCCTGTACAAGTCCCTTAATCTCACAGTTTCAACTTTCTTGTCTTTAAAGAATATATCATAATATTGTGCTGCCCCAGAGAAAGAACTGATAAATAAAAGTATGTAAAGAATAATTTTACATATGTGTGTATATGTATATGTGTATACATATACATATATATGTGTGTATGTGTGTGTGTATATATATATATATATATATATATATATACCTATTTGTGTCTAATGGTAGCCATCTCTAGGGTAGTGGAGGAGGGAAGAAAAAAAAGGAAAAAAAAGAAATTTGCATGATTATTATATATTTAAAAGGAATAGCAAGGTGTACATGATAGACTTTTTTTTTTTTGGTGAGGCGGTTGGGGTTAAGTGACTTCCCTAGAGTCTCACAGCTAGTGTCAAGTGTCTGAGGCTGGCTTTGAACTCAGATCCTCCTGACTCCAGGGCCAGTGCTCTATCCACTGCGCCACCTAACTGCCCCGTACATGATAGATTTGCTTTTCCATAAGCAATCATCTTTTTTTTATTATAAAAAATAATGAATTTATATAGTGCTACCCGCCTTACAGGATTGTCTCAAGGAGTTCACATGTACATAAATAAGTAAATGTAAAATGTAGATAAAGTAAATGTATATACAATAATATGTAGGGGGGGAGGGAAGAGTGCTAACAACTCAGGGCATCAGGAAGGGCCTCATGTGGGAGGGGATACTTGAGATGAGCCTTAAAGGGAGTTAAATATTTTGAAAGGTGGAGTGAAGAGAGAACCCGAGGGAAAAGTCTGTACAAGTGTTCAGAGAGAGATGGAAAAATGTCATGTGCATGAAATAGCAAATTCCAGCCACTTTGGCTGGAATGTAGAATATATAAAAGGCTAACTAATGTATAACAGGCCCAGAAGGGTAAGGTGGGACCTTTGCTTCATGCTGTGGTTCAAAGGTGTGGCAGTGCAGTGGTTTTGGTTTTTTTGTGGGGGTTTTTTTGTGTTGGTTTGTTTCTTAAAAACGTAAGATCTTAATTTTTTAAAAATATGACTAGTTTTATTAGGTTATCACAGAGGGATTTTTTGGTGGATGCCATAATTCCCAGCAGGCATAAGACTTTAGGAGTACTCCTTCAGCGAGGCACTGTGGGGCATCCCTTCTCAAAGTTCATAGGATTTTATAGCTGGACAGTACCTTAGAGATTATCTAATCACTTTGCTGAACTTTGGTTTTTGTTCTTTTTCTTAGTATAATGGATAGTTCTTTAGGTAAAAGAGAGGTGAGGAACAAAGTGGTGTCAAAACAAAAGATATCAATAAAAAAAATTGTAAAGGAATTCTCTGGTCCAGCCCCTTCATTTTACACATGAGGAAATAGCCTGAGAGAGGCAAAGTCACTGGGATCATAGCTCTAGCACTGGAAGGGTTCTCAAAGACCATCTGGTCCACCATCCCCCCATTTTATAGATGAGGAAGCTGGAGGCCAGAGCGCTGAAGCGATGTGCCCAAGGTTGCATAAGCAACAAGTGACAAGACTGGGATTTCAGCCCAGGTCTTCTGACTCTACATTCATTGTCATTTCTATTTCAGCATTATCATTGTTATTGTCATCACTTAGCACTTTAAGGTTTGCAAAATACTTTGTATATATTAACTCATTTGATCCTCATAACCCTATGTAGTAGGTACTATTATTATTCCCATTTTACAGATGAGGAAACTGAGGCACAGAAAAGTTAAGTTATTTGCCCAGGATCACACAACTATTAAGTATCTGAGGCTAGATTTGAACTCAGGGCCAGCACTCTATCCACTGAGCCACCTAGCCGCCTCCTTAACTAGTGTAGTAGGTACTTAATAAATGTTTATTGACTGACCAGGTTGCCATTAGGTGACAACATTGCTGCGTCTTTGCCAGGAGTGTGCCTCTCTGTTCATTGCTAATTGTGTCATCTTTTATTTCCCATAAGAATATTTCTGATTTTATGATATAAATCAATGAGAAAATACAATCAATGATATGATATTTGACTTTGCATGTGACTCTTCAGGAAAGTATCTATCTCATAATTCAGGGCATGCCTCTATGAAAATTTTGGAATGATCGCTCTGTGTATTCAAGAATAAGGGTATGGACTCATGAGGTATGGATATCATTCTGCAAGTGAGATGCTTCAGGGAAACAATAGTAAATGTTCTATTTCTTGTTCCATTTTCCTAGGAAGGACCCTTTGTCTACTTGTCTTTAGTAGGAAGTGTGGCAGACTCAGATGGTGTAATTGCTTCATTATGTAAGTATACTTTTATTTGAATTTTGAAATATTTTGAGGAGCCTAATAAGCTTGGTATGCAGTTAAGAATGTGGGAAGTATAGTTAGAATAAGTGTGATAGTATTTAAAACATAGATTTTTTTAGTGTTTTATGATTGACTTTTTTATATCATCATTTTCCAATGACATATTGCACATACCTCCCACCTCATCCCCAGAACCCTATCTTGTAATCAAGAAATAGTTAAGTGAAACAAATTAACACATTGACCTTGCCAACCTATATGTCTGATTCTACACCTACATTACATGCTTCATCATTAGTCCTCAGAAGTCATAATTGATCACTGGATTAATCAGTGTTGAAATCTTCCAGTCTTGTTTTCTCTGAAAGTATTATAGTTATTGTATAAATTATTCTCTTGGAGATAGATAGATAGATAGATAGATTAGATAGATAGATAGATAGATAATAGATAGATGACAGACAGATAGACAGACAGACAGACAGATAGAGGCACTCTCATAGACACGTGCAGAATGGCTATACTCATGTTCTCAGCTGATGGTGAACAAGACAACACTCTCTCCTCGTTTCTGCTCTCATGCTGTAAACAGTATCCTTTTGCAGTCCATTGAGCGCCACAGTTTTTTCCCCATCTTTGTGCTTTTTTGTTGTGGTTGTTGATTTTGCTGTTTAAAATGGCCCCCAAGTGTAATGTTGAAGTGTTGTTTAGAGTTCCAAGGTACAAAAAATCCATGCTGTACCTTATAGAGAAAATACGTGTGTTAGACAGGCATCATTCAGGAATGAGTTATAGTGCTATTGGCATGAGTTTGATATTAATGGATCAACAATACAGTATATTCAGAAGATGGTGGAGGAAATTTGCCACTCTTTATATGAGGCTACTATGGAAAGTGCTAAAGTAAATACTGTGAGCTCAGGCTCACTCACAGGAACTTAACCCTGCATTTCCCCTAGGAACAATGGTTCAATATTTTCTAATTGAATTGAAGTAGCTCAAAAGAAATGCAAGATGCACAAATTTAGAGAACCCACCCCAAATGTTTGCGCAGACTATTTGTGCCCGACCTATGGTAGAGCATTCTAAGCTTATATTGGTCTGATCAGCCATAGTCAGACACGTTGTAACTTGTCTCTCACATAGTGATGTCATTTTGGTCCTCTTTAAGAATAAGGACAACAACCATTTGTTAATTCAGTGTTCATGGTGACTTCATAGAACGTAACTACCACAGATGACAGGAATTGACTGTGTGTGTATATTCCCTATATATCTTGATTATCAGACCTTTTTGTCATACTTTTAGCAGCTTCCTCTCTCCCTCTAGCAGCATTGATTTTGTTCATGCAAAAGCTTTTGAATTGAATTGAAATTGTCTGTTCTATCTTTTATGATTACCTCTAAAGCTTATTTGGTTAAGATTTATCCTCTAATCATAGTTGTGCAAAGCATACCTCCTCCCATTCTCCTGTTTTCTTATGATACGACCTTTTAAATTAGAATTGTTCATCCACTTTTAGCTTATTGAGGAGTATGGCATAAGGTGGTCTAAACCTAATTTCTGCCAAACTGCTTTCAAGCTTTTCCACCCGTTCTCAAAAAAAGTCTTTACCCTAGCAGTTTGGACAGATTTGTCATGACTAAATTATCTATCACCTTTTATTTTAGAGTGGATATACCATATATGCATATAAGCTAGATTGTTGTCTTAGGACGAAGTTCACTAAGTCCCAAGAAGCTTATTACCAGAAAGTTGTCCATAGCAACACTCTCCTAAGATATAGAAAAGTTAAGATTGACATCAATGGAGGGAGCATCCACTCTGACAAAATTATGGTGACTTTGGAGTGTTAAGTACACCATATATAACTTGGGTACATATTTTTAATCTTGGTGGTAGGTTTTTTTTTTAACGTTCATACTGGCAGAGATGTGTACTAGCTTAATAATAAGAATATTTTATATAGTGTTTTATTTTTACGTAGTTTTTTAAGATTTACAAAGCACTTTGCATGTATTATCACATGTGGTCCTTATAATAACCCTAAGCAGGTGCTATTATTGTCCCCGTTTTACAGATTAAGAAACTGAGCCCCAGAGAAGTTAAGTGATTTATCAAGGCTCAAACAGCTAATAAACACCAGAGGCAAAATTTGGATTCTTCTCTTCCTGATTTCAAGCCCAGTACTTTTTCTACAACTCTACACTCCTTGTTTGTTCCCCATTCTTTTTCTTCCTTTGTTCTCAAAATTTTAGTTCATCAATAATACATCTAACAAAGTTAGTCTGTGCCCCATATTGCACTGGATTTATAAAAGAACACTGGTAGCTTGTAAAAATACAATTCTATGCCACTAGCCACCAGTATTAAAATTTTTTTCATTCAATGGGACTTCTTTTCAATTTTGCATTCCGCTGCACATGATAATATGTGATTTTGATACTGTTCCTTCACTGACAAGACTCTTGAGGGCTTCTTCCCCAGAAAAGAACTTCTGTGGTCATTACTCCAACAGATACTCATCCTCTTCTTTGTAGCTCCACTGAGACAGGGGCTACGTCTTAACCAAACTTTTGGGTATCATACTGTGCTCTGCACATAGTAGGTACTCAATAAACCTTTGTTGAATTCACTCCAATTTAATTCTTTATTTCAACTAGATTTCTGGCCAGGAATCATACATTCAAGGAGAATAGATTCCCTGAGGCTTAGAAAGCAATTTCCATCAATGACAAAGGATGGATTGTAGCTGACTAGCTCAGCTTCCCCCACCCCTTGCCAGCACAAGTTAAGTTAAAGCTCAAAAACCCCAGTGACCAGAGAAAAGCAGCAGCCTCAGCCTCCCTACTGAGAGTCGTGATCCTTTCTGGCTTTTTTTCATCCATCCTTGTCTCTCCTCTCTATTCTTAGACCCCAGAACCCTGGCCTCCTCACCTCCACTGACCCACCCTGTGGGGGGCATTCCTTTGCCTTTGTCCAGGCTACTTCAGCGAGCAAAACCTAGCTCCATCCTACCAAAAAAGATGCTAGTATCCTGATGAATTATCATTGCATTTCTGGAGGTTCACCACAAATAAATATAGTGCTTTTCATTTTCACTGAAATGAAAGTGAATTAGATAATGCAGTACATTTTAATTATAAAGCCAATGAGAGCAGCAAAAGCAATAGACATTTATTAAGTGCCCACTGGATACAAAATCTTGTGCTGAGTAAGATACAGAAGTGCACATAAATAGAGTAGAACGTAAGTGCACAAGAAAATATAACACCCTCCATTTGGCATCCTTTCCCAACCTGTCCCGAGCCCCTTCCTACTTTCCCAGCTATCTTATGCCTTACTTCCCTCCATGCAATCCACAGTCCAATCTCACTGGCCTCCTTGCAATTTCTCAAATACAAAATTCCATCTCCTGTCCCTTTATCTTTGCACTGGCTGTCCCCCATACCTGGAATGCTCTGTCTCCTCACCTCTTTCTCTGTTTCCCTGGCTAGCTTAACCACTGTCTGCTTCAGTTTCCCCAACTATAAAATGGGGATAATAGTACCTACTTCATAGGGTTGGTATGAGGATCAGATGAGATGATACTTGTAAAAAGCATTTAGCAAGTGCTTAGCACATAGTAGGCACTATAGAAATGCTTATTCCCTTCCTCTCCTCCTCTTGTTGATTTGTTGACTGCCTTAACTAATAAAATACTATGTGAGATCTGAGCAAGTAAAGATGATTTCTGACTGGCCAGAATCTCAGGTGGGAAGGAGCATCAGAGGCCACCTAGTCAAACCTATACTTAAACAAGACCCCTGTCTTCTACAGCATCATTGACACATGGTCTTCTAGCCTTCATTTAATGACCTCTAATGAGGGGAAACCACTTCCCCCATGAGGCCATCCTTGCCATTTGGGGACACTTTTGATTATTAAGAAATTTTTCCTTGCCTTGAAGCTAAATTTGATTCTCTTATCTCCCACCTATTACTTCTAGTTCTTTCTCATGGGCTTAAGCAGAATGAGTGTAATCTCCCTTCTATGAGACAGAGCTTAAAATACTTGAAGACAACTATCACATTCTCTCCTAAGTTTTCTCTTCTCTCAGGCTGAACATCTTCCATTCCTTCAGCCAGTCCTCATATGGCATGATCTCAAGGCCTCTCACCATCCAGGTAGCCTTCTTCTAGACTCTCTCCAGCTTGTTGGTATTCTCCTGAAAATGTGGTGCCCAGATCCTGAAAATGTGGTGCCAACAACTGAAAAGAGATGTGACGTAATCAGGGCAGAATACAATGTTACTATCACCTTCATAGGTCTAGACACCATACCTCCCATAATGTAGCCAAACATTACCTTTTGAGGGAAGCCGTATTAGATTCCTCACTAATTCCCAGATTCCAGACAATCTGTTCAGCCATCTTTTCCTCCATCTTTTCCTTAGGTAGTTGACTTTTTGAACGTAGCTGTAGGACTTTACACTTATCCCTATACTACATCACATTCTTTTCAATCTGACATTGTTGCCTGTTAAGATAGTTTGAGATCTTGAATATGTCATCCAATGTGCTGGCTATTTCTCTCAGCTTTGTGACATCTGCAGATTTTATAAGCATGCCATCTATGCACTGATCAATTAAATAGCATAGGGCCAAGCACAGACCTAGGTATAGTTCCCTAGATGCCTCCCTGCAGGCTGACAACCATCCATTTAAGACTACTCTTTAAATCTAGTCAATCAATCATTAAATCTACATAACAGAATTAACACCTGGCCACTTGTGTACAAGAACTTTGTCACAGTCAGGTGAGAAAGAAGGAAAGAAGGAAGGAAGGAAGGAAGGAAGGAAGGAAGGAAGGAAGGAAGGAAGGAAGGAAGGAAGGAAGGAAGGAAGGAAGGAAGGAAAAGGGAAATGAAATAAGTTGGAGAGAGAAATCTAGAATGACCTGTTCTTGATGAAGTCGTACTGACTCTTCTCTAGTTAGATGTTCACAATCACCT